AAGTTCTGCAAGCTTTTGTTTCTCATTCACTGGCTCATGCCCTTGGCTGCTAAGGCAGCTTTGACTATCTGAAATATGAATCTCTCCTCCCACTCTCTTGCTACCTGGACAGTCCAGTAAGGTAAGGAAGTGTTATCTTCATCTTCCTCTATTCTCTTTAAAAGCAGAGGAGGAACTTGAGATTAAGTAATTGCCAAGTCACACAAGAAGTTTGTGGCAGAGCAGGAAACTGCTGAGATCTTGCAGGTCTCAGCCTCGTATCTCTAACCAATGCAGAGTCCTTCCTCTCTGCTTATACAGTCAGCCTCTATTAATTACGCTGGCATTCGTGGCCTCATTTGGCATCACAAGCTTCTTTCCTTCCCTAGCCATCTCTGTATTGCGTTTTTAAAGCACTGCCAAAGAAACTAAACCCTAGCCTTCCACTTGCCTTGTCTGCACCTAAAGAAACTTTTACAGAAGACGGAAGAACCACAAGTCTGAATGCAACAGCTTCGCTCAAGATAAACAAGGGTGCTTAAACACCAAGATGTCAATGCCCTGCAAGTATCAGCAGAAATGAGAAAATCTGCCAGGTTTGCACTCTGGCCAACTCCACAGAGCACAAAGGGGTCTCGAAATACGCTGTAAAGGTGGTGTGACGTGCAAATGGATTACTGCGCTCAGCAGAAACGATGACTGAACCCAAATGACTCACTACAGACACAGAAGCTGAGCTGAGTGCTATTAACTAGATCAAGTTGATACTTCCTTAGGGTACTTCTCTTCAGGCCAGTGTCCAAAGCGGTGGCAGCTGGCAGGGCCCCATACTTCTGGGACCTCACGCAGGTAGGAGGCTCAGTTAAACTCACTACCATTGTGACCATATCAATGCTCAAAGTCCTAGCCGGGTGGCTCTGCAGGTAATTAAGAAAATGAATGCAATTAAATGCATAACTGACAAAAAAAAAATGAGCTAAATAGAAGTAGAAGAGCAAACCCACATCCTTAAACAATGTATGCATATCTCTGCGGGTATCTAGGGGTTTTTAGCAACACCAGCAAAATTCAGATACAAAGAGCCTTCCTCGGTCCCAGACAGCCCAAGGAGGTATCACGAACAGAGCTGAAAGAAACCGTGACTGAATCTGCCTCCCACCTCTGCTGCAAATGGGCAGCCTGACCTACATTTCAAATATATCTCTGCTACAAAAGCATTTGCTCCGCTTCAGCCTGTCGAGAAGGGGAGCCTGGCAGCCTTTCAGCTCAACAATCTGGTTCAGCTGTTCTGGTGCAGAACGTGGTGTCCTCCCACCCCCATCAGTAGCACAAGTGTCAGGTTTACTCTTTTTCAGATCCTTTCAGCAGAGGCCGTATCACTGCCTGACTCCCCAAGTGCATGCAGCAGACAGTCATTTGATATACTGAGCTACTCATGCTCTCAAGTCAGCTATTACTAATGTTGAGCCTTTTAAAGGGCAAAAGGCCTAAAGCACTCAGGTTTTCTTCAGAAACTGTTAATACAGAATGCATCAGATAACTGATGTCTCCAACCTGCAATTCCAGCTTTGGAAATGGTGAATTTTAACCCCCATTATGGGCTGTCTCATGAACTAAACAGCTTGATGGCAGGCTCAAAAGTCCTGTGCTAAATATGCCCTGGGCTTTCTGAGCCTGGCTCTCCTGAAACTAGTTTGCTCCATATCTTTGGAAGCAACCCCCTTGGCTGCAAACATGGAGTTATCTGGATTTGCTTTACTTTTATTCCCCTGTCCTTTGTCCCTAACAAGTCCCTGGGATATACCCACCTCCATGAGTGTCTCTTCAGGCAACTCCGGCGCCTCAAATGTAACAGCACCTTCCAGGTTGGCGGTGATCGGATCAGCAAAAGCGTACCGGAGACTTGAGGGGCCTTCCACAGCATCCCCACCAGTTCCCACTGCCAAGTGCCTGCCGGTGAACGAGCCTCCAGAACTGAGAGAGCTGGAAGACCCCACTGAGAATAAAAACAAGCAAAGGAGTTACTGAAGACAGTTGTAGTAGGCCAGGTATTCCTTGCCCAGCAGAAGGGACAATCCTGTAGGATCCAAGATGCTGGACCTGAGGGGAGCCAGCAGCAGGTACTTTGGAGGAAGATTCAAGGACTCTTGATGCAGAACAACCACTCCCCAGGACAAGCTTCTTAGCAACTCAGGTAGACCAGCTTACAAGCTCAAGCAGATTTAATGCACCTTCCAGAACCTCCATGTCATTCATGCAGACAATTCAGAAGTACTCTTTTTTTTTTTTTTTTTTCCCTTTTCTGTCCAAACCCTTTCTGAATCCTGCCACAACATCTTGGGCTGATTTTTATCATACACCACCACAGCCGGCTTCCCCGTCACAGCTTAGCATGGTTTGAACCCTGGTTCCCTAGCTTTTACACTATCACTGAATGAGCACCTCTGATAAGCAAGGTTTTTATTAGGGTTTTAAAACATCAACCACTTACATGCAAACCAGGACAGCTTTCCCTTACATGTCCTGCACTTCTGCTTCCCCCTCTTTACAAACAGAAGGCTGGGCAGAGAGTATGTGCCTTCAGCTAAGTCAAGACCCTAACCTCAGGATTCAGGAGACCCTGTTAAGTACAGTTGTCCATCAGACAATTCCCTCACCATCATCCTTCCCTCTTCTTGACCACTGAATCCACCCTAAGAGCACGTTGCATTTAAGAGATGGCCACTTCAAAGGGAGTTTCTATCTCAGAGTATTCATAATACATTCACCACTTCCAGAGGGCTTCATATCCCCAGAGGCACTGCCAGAGGGACATACTCTGTCCGACGGGGGGATGCTAATACCAGCTACAACACTCTGCTAATTCTACCATATTCTCTGTTGTCACTGATCTTTTGGAGGGAGATGTTTCTCTTCTACCCAATAATTTAATTTGCTGCCCTACCCAGCCTTCAAAAGGTTCAGCAATATAACAACGCACAACTGATCTGCAGAGGCACGGTCTCCTTCCCTCCCAAAGGTCTCTCCCTGTTGGCAGCGACGCTACGCTTCAAAGCTAAGTGGATCATCAAAGACTGGCAAAGTATTTCCAGATCTTTCAGAAGAAAGGACCAACAATATCACATTCTGGATACTCTGTAATTCCAAGAGGCTGTCTGCAGAAATTGTTATGACGACTCAGGGAAAGGCTCTGCTTTTGTATCTGTCAAGTGATCTTACTCATGGCTTGTGCGAGCACTCGGGGTGCAGAGTTTCAGCTTGCAAAGCTCCCTGTTCACCACTGACTTCGTGCATTATCTGCACCACCAGGAGTTACTGCACAGACCTAATAAACAAAGCTTGTCAAGCAGCATTGCTTTGACCACCTTGACCTATTGCTGTGTAGGTACTGTAGGTTCACTATTCAACAGCCTTCTCTTCCAGGCATCCCATCTGAGATCTTGACTGTTCAGCAGACTCTCAAGCATCCAAGTATCAACCTGCTAAAAACTGGTGCTTGGACCTGCTTCCAAACTGATAATATCCCTGCAAAAGCAACAGAGGAAATCTGAATTCTCTGTTCATAACATTTCAGCAGTAGCTAGAGGCTGTAGCCAGGATAGTAACCCCATTGTGCTACAGGCCTGTCAGACACTTTGTAAGAGTCTCTGCCCTACAGAGCTTACCCTCTAAAGAGATGAGACAAAGAAAGGATTATGGTCCCAACTTCCCAGACAATCAAGGATGTGAGTGGCTTCAGTTATGGTGGAAATGCAAGCTATACCCAAGAACGGAGCCCATGTGTCCCCCGTCCCAGTCAAGCGGCTTATTCAAGGTTACATCCAAACCTTGCCTGCAGTAATTAACAACAACAGGCGACCACATTCAGATGAGGAACGGTCAAGATGAGGACACAAAGAAGCCAAAAACGCAAACAGAAGAGTCCATATATTTTCTGAAACTGAACACAAACTCCGCCTCCCAGAGATACCGTTTCAAAAGGGCCAACTACCACAGCCTCTGCTGTTGGCTGATGAGGCCAGAGCACGGGTATCTGTCAAGCAGGAGTGCATTGCCCCATTTTCAACTTCAGCAACTCAGAGCATAAATAACACCGCTAATAATTTTGCATAGAGCCATCCTGGCCCTCTCCTAATGGTACTCGTGCACTGAAGTTGTTGGGCACGGATGGTCACACTCATCTTTTATAGCTCATCCAAAACCCAAGGGGAAAATGACCAGAACACACCATCATCTACATTTGTTGACTACCAGCGACAGTGGGTCTATGAACAGCTGCAGCGTTATTCCTGAAGCAGAGAGCAATGAAGAAGAGCTTGCCTGCCTCTTCCAGCACTGGAAAAACACTATCTGGCATTAGTATTGTGCCAGTGCAAACAGTCATCAGCAATAACTGGGGGTGGCAGGAGCCCAGCACGAGACCCTCAAAGGCATTTAGACCAGGTGAGCTCTACGGACTGTGCTCTGAGCAGCCCTCTGCCACCACCAGTGCTCAGCAGCAAGGAATTCAATACATCGCTCTGCCCCCAGGCATTCCCACTGGAACAGGCAGGCAGGTAGGTATCAGCCCTTTACCTGAAAACATCCTGGTCCTCGTGGTCTGTGGGGGGGTTGTTCCACTGGGAGGGGATCCGACAGTAAAAATCACTGGGGATGGGCTGGCAGAGCCCCCAGCCCGGGCACCAGAGTGCAGGGTCCCTCCGTAAGCACCTGAGGGAGCTGGGGAGACAGTTGAAAGGTGCAGACTGGCATTACAGGAAAGTAACTCAGATCATGATGTGCCTCACCCAGCAGTTTTACGGTCCTGCAGACTCTCTTGGGACACAGTGATTACCAGCACAGGCCAGCGCTCCCTTTGGAGGTGCCCCCCGCGAACACGACCGGGCCAGGCTGGCGCGGACCACAGGACACCAGCCTGGGCAGCGTTAGGCGTTGCTGCAGCTGTTCTCCCCTCCTCACTTCCCAACCTGCAAGCCCAGGAAGACCCACCCTTGCAGAGCCATTCATATTCGAGCTGCCTGGCAGAAAGTCCCCACTTCCACACGTTACCACATTCGGAAGGGGCCAAAAGCGGAAGCCCTGCCTACAAACACCACGCCACTAGCCAGCAGTTACACAGCACGCGCAGCCCACAGACCTCCGAGCGCTCCGCAGCAGAAAGCAAACATCATCACACTTCTCACACGTGGCAGTCACTTCCTTTGCCAAAAGCCATCAGAAAAGCAGCCTCCCATTTGTAGGAGGCATGTAGACAAACTGTTTGCCCAAACCCAGGACCATCCTGCCAGATCTGCCTGGTCTCCCCACCTACCTGCAATTTCCATTGGCTTCTCATTGTTCAGGCTGTCGTTGCTGCCAGCTTCGGAGATCTGGGCCCCAAAGGCTGCCTTCAGAAGCAGGTCAGTGAGCCTGCCTGTGCTCAGAGATCTAAAAAGAGGACATACAACATGATGCAGAAAGTCAACAGGTTCAAGGTTTCAGCTAACTTCCACTCCAGTTTGTGCCATTCCTGGTCCACAACCACTTATAACACTACAAAGCGAACATTCTGAAGCCGAAATAACCACTCTTCATCTTTCAACAGAGCATCTGAAGCACCTCCTGCTACCTGTAGAAAGCATACAACTACCGTGACTAACTGTAGTAATGCAAATATTGACTAGAGCATTATTACAACACAATTTTTCTTTGATGGAAGATATGGAAATTAATATCAGAGGACTCCTCCAGACCACTGGAGAAAGCTGAAGTCTGCAGAGAAGCATGTAAGAAAAAATGAACACTAACAACCTGAGTGACTTTGTATCCTGCAATGCTTATGACAGTCAGCATGTGGCTTTCAAACAGATCTCTGGTCTGAAGACCTGTGCCCACTGTTCAATGGACATGACATCCCCTCATCCACAACTGGCACAGGCTCCACAGAGAGCAAGGCACGTATCTGCCTAACTGCAGGGAGTCTGGTCTCATAACAAAATCCTTCAGTGTTAGCTGGGGTTTGAAATTTGCCCCATCCACCCTGTATTAGGGAATGAAGCAACACTGTACAAAGCAGACTGCAGCTCACCTGCCCTTGATCTCTTCCACAGGTCTCAATCCCAAGCCAGTTTGCTGGCAGTGGAAATGACCCATCTCCTTCAGATCTGGCAGGGTCTTGTTCCGTGTCGGAGTCATCATGACCCCCTGATGGGCCAAGAGGGTGAAGAGATTCTGGGAACTTGGGGTTTTGGGGAACTCAAACGGGGACACAGCCTAAGAAGAACAGAATAAAATGAGATCTGTCTTTAAACTGAAGGAGGAAGGTTCCCCTCATCCCCCCCACTTGTTTATCAAAATTAAATTGTATGCTCAACAACCTGCCTGAAATAGAGATAGAAATCCCACCCCACGCAGTTAGTTGTCCCCAATCCCAGAAAGACTAAAATGAAAGGACAACAAACTCGGCTGAAAATCTGTAGCAGCCTAACATAAGCAGAGAAAACGCTGTCACAGTGCCAGCTTTGCATGAGACACCAGGGCTATCACCTGCTTAACCGTCTGCCGTCTCTGCTGGGGATTCCTGCCGGACACAGGCTTTCGTCACAAGCCGAGTCGCTGTGTGCAGACCAGCCCAGGCACCACAGCTCACTAATGCGCTTCTGCCTAATCTGGGCAGCTCCTTTTCATTGCCTGTTTAAAACCCTGGCCTCTGCTCAGATGATGAACACTGCTGCCAAGTGAGATCTGTCCACTAAGAACTAGGACACTACCCCATTTCACACAGATCACTGAAGAGCCCTTGAAGGAGAGCGAACAAGCAGTGATAAATCCAGGTCAGAGTTACCTGATCAGGCAGTGGTACACCCCCAAATAACACAAAAGGCTGGGCTCTGAGAAACACAAAAGCAGACTCCTTGACATACCTTCGTAGGGGAGCCCATTATAGTGGGCAAAGGGCTTCTCTGCATGACCTCAGACAGCTTCGGTGAGGATCTGAGCTGCCGGCAGTGCTGCAAGCCATGAATCTGCAGAGGCTGGCTGACCGGGGTGTGACCAAAGTGAGCAACAAGCGGATCAGAGTGCTGCTTGGTTATCTTCTGCCTGCAGGACTGCAGGTCTGACAGGTTGGGAGCACTGTGGAGCCGGGAGCCCATCCCTCGAGGAGAGTGTTCGGGCACTGAGGAACCTGGGGGGCCCAGAGTGACAAACCACATCATTTTCTGGTTCTAACACACAGAAAAGAGCCCACAATCCACGGCTCAAACATTTACAGATTAAAACCTTTAGTGGATGGCTAAGGATGGCACTCTCATCAGTGCCACAAAACTGCTAGGCCTGGTTGGGTTTTAACTTTACATGAGGAAAATATGAACCAGGGAAATAAAAAGTGTAACAACTTTCCTTCACTGCAGCCCTTACAGAGAGAGGAACTCTGACTGTCAGAGCTCAGCAGCAAGGAAATTACACATCAAGCAGGCCACTTGGCAGAGGGGGTGTTGGGGGTTTTGAGAGGCTTTTCCTTCCTTCAATCCATCAACTTCAAAGCCCCAAATTTGAGTTCTTGTGACACAGGGTCTGTCAGCACTGGAAAACGCTGGCAGACGGGATGTGAATGGATCAACCCCAACTCTAACAAGCACACAGAAATCCCGCCTGGCCAAGCATCAAGATAAGCTGCAGAAGGCCCGTCCCCAACCTTGAATGCCCTGAGACTACAGTTCTGGCCTTATCCATAGGTAAAATAAAGGAAGCTGAGGACCAACACACCGGCAACAGGAATCCGGCTTCTCACTTCTGCTCCGAGAGAAGATGGGATAACAGTCTGGCTGGGCTGCTCTGGGATTGTTCCAACTTTGAGGGAACACAGTAAAAAAAGTTTACTCAGTATTAAGTTTCCATAGGCAAAAACAACCCTATGCACCACCTGTTTTATAGAAAGATGCTAGCTAGCTCTTCCATCTTCTCAGCCCTAGTTGTATAGTGAAAAGGTTAACAACAACTCCATGGAGGAAAAAAACCCCTCTAGTATTAGTTTAGCAAGTTTTAGTCTGACTTTGCACTGATATTAATTCAGAGGAATTGAATATGAATATTCTGCATTCCCCCATCAGCAGAGACCAGTAAATATAGGACTGGAGACACTGGGGATATAGAATAGCTAGTTACATCAGAGTCTGTTTATTTATAGAAAACAGAAAATTGCATCAGTTGCACACTGGGGTTTTTCTTACCCTTGAATTGCTTGTTAGCACCTGGATCAGGCTACCAGATATTCAGACAGCTACTTTTCGGTTTGAACAGTGAAGCTCAAGCCCTTGCAAAGCTAGTCTGAATTCTGCTCTAACAACAATCGGCTGACATTTTTTCTCACCCCATCCCAAGCCAGAAAAAGATACTTTGCACATACAGAAGCCCTCTTCAGAGGGCAGCAAAATGTTTGATGCAGGCTCCAAAACAAAGCTTGTCTCTCCTGGGGCTAACAGACGTTTCCCTTTCCATTTTATTGAGGCCAAAACACTTGTCAAATAATCTATGGAACAGCCTGCCCAGGGAGGTGGTGGAGCCACCATCCCTGGAGGTGTTTAAGAGACGGGTAGGTGTTGTACTTAGGGACACGGTTTGGTGGTGTTGGTAGAGCCGGGACAAAGGTTGGACTCTGCGATCTTGGAGGTCTCTTCCAACGAAACTGTTCTATGACTCTATTGAGAAGAGCCATGGGAGAACACAACAATCTGAAGTCCCTATCACCTGGCAGCTACAGCTGGTCATAACCTCTCTTGACAGGAAAGAGGCAGGTGATTGTATTAAGGCAGCAACTTGCCAGTTGACATCTTACCTTGCGGTGATGGCGTAAATGGCTTGGCACCGCCAAAAGAGAGCTTTCTAGAGCTGGGCACAGATCCATGCTCTCCAGGATAAGGAGGGGAAGCACCAGTTTTAGGAAAACCAAGAGGACTTGTACTGCTAGACCTCCGGACCGTACCAGACCTTACAGGAAACAACAGCAGCACACACGTTACTCCAGGTGCCAGTAAAGAAGAGTAAGGAGAACAGTATCACCAGACTCTCACACACCCCCCCAGATACTCCCATAGAAGCTGAGCTTCATGGCTGTTTATTATGGATCAAACTCCCACTGTTCTAGGACTACAGCAATACAGATTAAGATGATAATCCTTGTTCTCAAGAGTTTCAAGCCAAACAGAATTTTGCAAGACAAATGGAAAGAACAAATGAGATTAGTTTAGCTGTAAGCAGGCAAGTCTGTCATTTTTCAGAAGTCACTTTCAGGTATCTAAATCAATCCTCAACAAGACAGTTTCACATCTTACCACGTCTAAAGTGTCTATTTTAGGCAGTGTCTTCAGAATGCCCTGAGAAGGCTCGTGCTGAGCCATTTGTTCTTTTGTCAGTGCAGCTGTTTACGTAGAAAGCTCTGCGAGTGCAGGTTGTACGATGTGGAGGTAAGCTGTGCCAAAGGCACTGCTCTGCCACAGCGCTTTGACTCAGATCAGAAGCTACAGAGCAAAACAGAGCAGTGTGTGGCTGTCAGATCTGAAACAGTTCAGTACTACCCAGAGGAATTTCTCTTTGGGCTGTATAGCTGGAATTGCCTGGGCTCCAAACTCCTTGAATTCCTTGTGAAGCCTCATCTTAGGGAGTTAAAATTAATTTGTACAGCCCACACATGCAGGAACCTCAAGTATTACCCAGCTGCTAAAATGAAACAGAAGAGGAAACCAGACTAGCAGAAAGTGAGTACGGCCACATCATCACTCTGGAGAGAGATGGGATTACTGCACATTAATTGATTTCTTTCTCAATATTTTAATGTTTCCATCAGTTGTTAAGAACACACAACCTAAACTCTTGTTTATTGAGATGCCATTCTGCCGCTGCAGACTCCTTTACCAAGATTCCCGTTACACTTCTCTGTATGAGAAAACAGTCTTTTCATCAAATCCTTCATTCTACTCTCAATTTGCCTTGTTAAAATAACTGTAGTGTCAGCCAGTAGCTGGTTTTCTGGATAGGAATCAATGAATATGCTGAAAAAAAACCCCTCTGTGCTCAAGCCACTGAAAGATGCTATCATCAAGGCATCCCACCTCCTCTCCCAGCAACGCGGCACTAAGCTATCCATACATATCCAAAGAGAAAGACAAAAGGCACATGGGTTTCAGCAGTGCAAGCAGGGCTAGCTCCATCACCCAGGAAAAATGCCAAAGTCATCCTGGTGAAGTATCAGTACACTTACTTAACAACACTACTAGGCGTTATGTTTACTTTATGCCACATTTCAGAAGATAAATAAATAAAAAAATAAAAAAATAATCTATTTCAGCAGTTGAGATAGAAGAATTTGACCTGCCATCCCTCAACCCCCACCCCCCCTTTACAATTTGACCTGCCATCCCTCAACTCCCACCCCCCTTTTCAATGTGTTACTACATTTCTCAGCTAAATTAATTCATGCTATATTCACGTGCTTAGAAAAAAGGAAATCCTTTAAAATTTTAGCATAACAATCACTTTTCAGGTTGCTCCAGATTGAGAAGCCTAATGCTCATCAATTGCCTAGCCCTGAAGCAAAACGAATACCCAACAAGGAAATGGACACCTGGCCAGGTGAGAAGGTATCTAGTTGTTCAGTGGCAGAAAGTATTGCTCCCCCTTGTTTTTAACCCTCCAGAACATGAGCCATCCAGAAGGCTGAATAGTATCTATCAGGAACTTGCAGAAAAAAACCCACCATCTGACTGCCACTGCTGAAAGATGTGGAATGTCAACTGCCACCCTACGAGACATGGGATAAGCAAGCAAGCAGACGAGCAGGACAGGTGACGTGGCCAAAAGCACACACACATAATTACCACCTCAACAAGCAACCTATCTATCCACAAACAAGCTACGTTACACAGGCACACACCAGCCAGTCAGCTGACATGGTTGATTTTTCAGAAACAAGAGCACATGTCAAGGTTTGTAGTCAAATGACTTGGCAAACATGATGAGGCACTTGGCTGTAATGGCCTGTCTGATACACCTGATGGAAAAGTGGAATCACATACTACATGCTTGATGAAGATTTCTCCTTCCATTCCTGAAGGGTGTTTCAGAACTTGCTGATTAGAGGAAGTGATGGTGAGACATAAATATGGCTTCCCCGGGCATGAAAAAACCATGACGCCAGAGATTTTGAGCAGATGCTAAATGCAGACTGTGAATCATCCTGATTGTGTCCATTCCTCGAGTTCCTCTGCAGGGACGATGCTAATCTCATCATTACACAGTGGTGACTAAAAGGAGCAAAACATGGCAGTTTGATCCCTGACTAGTAGCTGCAGACTGCGAACCTGAACTCTGCAGCCTGCCACCAGGCTTGGGGTAGGCACAGCGTGCCTCGGTGCATCCTCTGCACCTTTCTCCAGAGCTCTCACTTTTATGCACCACGTGGATAGACGTCACGTGGTTAACCAGGACTTTTTTGCAAGTTCCAACATTAACAGGGTCCACAAGTTTTGCTGTAAAAAACACAAGGCATGTAGGAAACAGGAAAGAGCTTACCACAAAACCTGCCGCACACACAAATAAGTGAACATAAAATAGTATTAAAGTAACACTGTCACAAAAAAGTCTCTCTGCTGATCCTTAATTAATATCAACATACTGTGTCTACTTCTGGGTCCACTTTGAATAAGCCTTATCCTGAATTAGGCTGGCTGAAGCCCAAACTTAGGCTGACATAGGTATTACCCTACTTCTGAAATCTAAACTTAAAACTAATCCAGATAAACCAAAGCAACTCATTAAAGAAAACCCAACCCATGACACCTCACAGACACTTTTTGAATGCCCCTGCTGTACAAACTCTTTAAGATCCTATATGAGTCTCCTTCCAACCAGTCTATGACCTGGGCTGCTGCTGTCAACCCAGATTTCAAAGCTGTAAGAACCAGCAATTATATGTGAGAAGAGATAGAAGCCCTATGTGTCTTTGATGTACAAGGCACTACCACTGAGCTAGGAAGGTCAGCTGTACGGCTGAAGGCTGGCATCTGAGTCTTCCTGACGGCTTTCAGAAAACATGCTCTGCCTCACAGGCATAAATTACTCATGATTTAATCTGTCCTGGCTGCATAACCACATTAATATGCAACTTGTGTAAGATGCATCATCTACGGTGTGACTAGCTACAGGAACTAATTAAGGTAAAGACAGGTAAGTTTTGCAGCCCCATCCATTTTAGTTGTTCATCTCAACTTTTTCCTTTCATAAAGGCATCCGCCAGATAAATGGTTCTCTGCTTGGACACCCAAACCATAGCTGGCATGGCAAAAGCTATCAGACTCAAAAGGGGCTCAGCCCGCACTGAAAGTTGACAGGAGCTGTCTCACATACACACATAGAGATTAAATTTACAGCCCTTGGTAACAAATAAATCTCAACGTCCCTACCAAAACACCTCAAAAGACGTACCACATTGGCTCCCTACAGCAAGGAGAGCCCATCATACAAGGCAATTTTTAGAGGTACAAAACCAAACTGTTTCACATTTTGTTTTACAACCCTCAAGCTGTAATACAGGAGCCCCTGCACTGATGTTGCCCCCTCCTCCCAGCCCCAGCACTTACCGTGGGGAGGCGTACTGATTGGGAGACTGCAGGTTCTGCTCAATCCGCCGGTAGTTGTGAATTTGTGTTGGGACCGGAATGGGCACGGAGTGTCCGTACTTGCTGCTAGAAAACTGACCTGGCCGGCTGTTGAAGAGAGACACAAAGAAAACCTCTTGTAAGGGGTGGGCCTTCAGCCAGGTAATTGGATGTTTTATCTTCATAAAGCAACCATACCTAGGGAGTGTCCCTTGGCTGCTCTCGGGTTGTGGGTTTACACTGGGAAGCAGTCCACAGTCATATCAAAGGCAAGTGGCACCATACACCTCCTGAAAACAGGCTCCCTTCTTCCAACCCAATTCCCATCCCCAGACTGAAGTTAACACGTACACCAAAGCGCACCACTCCCTCCAGGAAAACTGGAGCCCTGCTATTTCAGGCCACAACTGGCCTAGTTCTTAGCATCTCAGATCCACAGCCAACGAGCACATCATTAAGCAGGGGCTAAACATTCGTGGCTCACAAAGGACACCAGCAAAGATTCTGCTGCCAAGCGCTACTTGCAATTCATGCAGAGGCACTGCTGCCGCAATGGCATCTCCACGGAAGTCTCAGCGCGCCACGAAGAGAATACAAACTTGTGGTGTATGTCAGTATTTGCAAGTTAACTACAGGGTGGAGAAGGCAACTCAGGAGAGAATAAATCTGGGGGACAGGGGCTGGTATCTATATAGCCATCAAGGTCAGCTAGAATATCACACACACACAGTGGGACAGGCCCATTCTGCAAACTTCAGACTTCTTCCTAGTTCTGTCCAAGCACGTTAATCAGCTCACGTCTGAGATGTCTTCCCCCGGGTGACAGTTTCCCCTGTTACTCTTAGCCTGTACACCACGCTATACACAAACCATGCTATACAAAAACCACGCAAACACCACATTTAACTAAGTAGCTGCCTAAAGTCTTTTCCCAAAGGCTCTAGAATTCTAGGATTAATTGCCATGGCAATGCTATTTACAACTGCCAACACCAATTGCAGGGATGATGCACAATTACAGAAAGATCTTATTGGTAATGAAGGCTTCTGCAGTCTTCCTTGTTGTCAGTCGAGGACACACGCCTGGTTCTGCCCCTGAGAAGCAGGACGCATCACTTCTTCAGGTCTAACCCTCAGAGTGGAAGTGTTTTACATAAAATGAAAGGAGGTATTTAATTCAGCGGGAATGTACATGCATGCACGGGGGAAAGAGAGAGGAGTTTACGACTCATTTGGTAGTTCAAAGCATCCCATTACCAGAATTTCTTATTTGGGGAAGGTCAGCAGTACTCTGTGGTTTACCATGACAGTGTTGAACAAAGCT